TGTTTTTAACTATTTTCCTCTCATATGAAAGCTCAAAGACCCAGGACGTTGATCCTGGCAAGGATTTACACAATCTCACCATTTTGGGGGCCAAACAATCTCCTTGTTCAAAAGATACTGTGGGGCACTTTTAATGTTAATGAGCTGGCCAGAAATTCTCACTTGATTTAGTGGTCTGCACCCCTCAGTCGAATCATGCCATTTTGTTTTTCGTCTGGTTACCCAACTCAGGCTGTTTGGATTCATCAAAAAAATCTCCATCCAGGTCAAGGCACCAGACTACATTTGCTTATTTGTCGTTCACAACTACATGTACCTTTGGGGCGGTCGTGTATACTGCCGTTATACCCAAACATTTCTCTCAAAACCAAAAGCCCTGTTCTCTTTTCTTTCTGATATGTAAGAGCTTATCACCAACAACTTGTTTAGATAAGTTACTTCGAAACGAAGAATTTGTCCCCTTATAATAGGAACAGGGTGCTAAAGGTAATGAACCCCCCAGAAATTAGGTGTCCAAAAGTGTGAATTTTTTGTGTCCCTGTTAGTGTTACATCTGGTATTTGTTATTTTCTGGGGGGTTCATTGCCTTTAGCACCCTGTTCCTATTATAAGGGAACAAATTCTACTTTTTCAAAACAACTTCCCTGAACAAGTTGTTGGTGATGTCCTCTTTCATATCAGAAAGAAAAGAGAACAGGGCTTTTGGTTTTTGGTAAGAGCATGGAGGAATAAAACACACCCCTCCATGGTAAAAGGCAGTGTACATGACCACCCCGAAGAGCTGTGAATGTGAATGACAAATAAGCGAATGTAGTTTGATTCCTTGACTTGGATTGAAATTTGTTTTGATGAATCCAAAAAGTCTCAGTTGGGTTACCGGACGAAAAATTAAATGGTGTGATTCGTTGTCTTTTGCTGAACTCGGGTTAAAAATGTGCAATTTTCTTGCTTAAATATTGTCAAAATTTACCTAAACTAGGCTGATCAGGATTGAGTAATGGTTCTTTGAGGTAAAGATTTTTTCAATTTTATTGTTTTCACATAAAGGCTATCAAAAAACATTTCAAATCCAAAATCATTGATTTAAGCAGCGGTAAAAAGGTATGAAATACATACCTAGGTACCCCACCTACATTTACGGTGTACCTACCTAGACCTACTACAGTAACTACACAAATGATTAAATCCTCCGATACATGCATACGTACTGCTCTGGGTATGTGCATGGCCACTACTCACCTACATGTTTCATGTTGCTAAAATAAATAATAAATAATGAAAAAAGCCTCATGTGTTTCCAAAATGTTCTGGACACAAATCTAAAACTTTCATTCTTATGGTTTTTAACAGCGATAAGAAAGCGATGGCACAAAATGTGAAAATTTGCTCGGAAAATTTGCAAGCATTTACTTAGAAAACACGTGTAGGTTTTTTTCAGACAAGTCTCATTGGTTTGTGCATAGGGGCATCAAGTGTTATCCATACATGTATATGGAAATCTTTCCCTCAAAATTTGAATCAGATTCAACATTGTGCTGAACAGTCCTACGCTTAAACTGGAAAAAGATTTGAAATGTCCATGCTTTGTGAAAAGACGGTGGATATATACATGTTGCCGTCGCTGACAAATTCATCTAAATGGTATTTAGCCTTCTACAAGTAGACAGTGCCCTCTTTCAAGTGTACATGTAGACCACCTGTCATTTCAAGGTTGCATTGTCTAGTGGCATACACGTCTTGAGATACATGTACATGTAGCATGACACATACAGTAGTTCACCGTTAAGTACACACATGTACATGTATATTGTTTAACGTTCTTTAACTTTACCATGCTCTGAGTATGGGATCTACATGTATGCATTTTATCCCGGTCCGGTTCCCAGACCAACAAGATAGATACATGTACTTTATTTTTCGCCTGTTCAAGAATCGGGAGTGAATATAGTGAATCAGGGCAGTAAATGAACCAATGCAAGTCACAACCAGGAAAGAGTCAAGGGAAATTGCATTGACACTATATTATTACATGTACGATGCAGTGCTTAAGTTGATAATTAGGCCTACATGTAACTGATAAAGGGTGACAGTGTAGTCTTACAATGTACGTTGCAAAAACATTAAATTCTCAATTATGTTAATATTGTTGCTTTCATTTATCCATTTCAGAATTCTTGAGTTCGTACATATTAAAATATGTAATTTGCATTTCCATTACTTCCCACACTTCTTTTTTTTTGCAGGTGTCACTAAACAGAGGCAGCAGGCCTTCTTTCATGCTGCTAGATCAGGGTCTCTGACATGGTCTCATAAAGAATATTCAGGCAACTCTTTGCTTGCCAGATGTATGCACAGTGCTTGCTTTGTGGATGGCATCATGTACATGTTTGGAGGGATGATACCAGCTACTGCAAATACACATAGTGGCACCTGTTTCTGTGATTTGCAAATGTTGGATTTAAGGGATAGAACATGGACAAGGCTGCTGGCTACAGGTGGGAACAATATTGTCCCCTCTCCTTATTGTAGTATGAGTTGTAGTGTGGGGCTGAGTCAATTTGAATAATTCACTATTTGAATATTCGACCTTCAATTGAATATCTGAATATTGGGTTGTACCATCCAGCAGATTGTTAAAGAACAATCCATATAGAAAATGAGTTGCAGTTATGCATTAAATTGTACATTTCAATCACTGTAATAGCTTCTCCCGTGTGGGAGTGTCTCCAGCCACGAACGATACTTCTTGTTTTTTAAAATTTTGTAATGAATAAATTAATTTTTGAATCTTTGTAAGATTTTTGTCGCTTTTGTTTGAGTCCACTTGAAACAAGCCTCCACAGTACAATTTTTCTCATTGAAAATAAAAGTCTAACTTCGTTTTCCTGAATTTTGCATTCAAATACAGTGTATTCAAATTCAGAAAATAATATTCGAATATTTGATACTTGATCAAATATCCGGATAATCGGCACAGCCCTATTATAGTGAGGTTAGTGAAAAGTTTCAGGTTAAAAATCTTGTGTTGTAACCAATAGTATCACTATTTATAGTGTTATTCATATTTATTTTGCCATGCTGTCTGTGCAACAAATACATGTACATGTACTTGTAAAAGAAATATGTACTTCTGCATGTGTTCAATTTGACACTGGCAAGGTTACTATATAGCGTGCGTTGTCTGGAAAGAGGTTTCATAATTGAAATTTGATTCTCTTTGATATTTTAGTTTATGCTTTAGTTTGGAAACATGCACCAACTGCACTAAGGAATAGAAAAGACTATGTACCGGGTAGTATATATTCACCACTTGTGATGAAATCTGTGTAGTTTTTGTCTTCATGATACATGTAGGTCAATACCCTTCTCCAAAGGCTGGAGCCTCTATGGTCCATCACAGTGGATCTCTGATACTCTATGGTGGATGGGCCCCTCCAGTTCCCAACCCTCCTCATCAACCTCCCATAGTCTTCAATGATCTTCATATGTATGACATTACTAGAAATCACTGGAGGGCTGTAGTGACTAGTGTCTCACCACCACCACTAGCCAATCACAGAGCCAGCCTACTGGGTGATTTGATGATTATCTTTGGTGGGAGTAGTGGAAGTAGAAAGAAGTAAGTAACTGTGTATATTTTGCATTTATGACCACATTGGAGACTGTGAGAATGCTGAATGTATGTAATGGAAGCTGTTTAAATGGATGGAAACATCAATGAATTAAGACATAAATTGATTGTCAATGCTGTAAATTTATTCAACTACAACTACTGACATGCCCAACTACAACTATTGACATGTGCATGGCAGGGCTGAGTCAAATCAAATTATCCACTATTAGAATATGCGACCTTCGATTCGATCGAATATCCAATTATGTGGTAGTATGGACCGGCAGATTGTTGGCGAACAAACCATACACGAAATCAGTTGCAATGGTACATGATAATCACTATAATAGCCTCTTATACATGTACAGGAGTATTTCCAGCCACAAGTTATATGTAGCAAGATTTAAGAGACGAACAAAGCTGTTGAAAATATCTATTCCTTTTAAAATTTTTAATGAATAATTTACTTTTGAATCGTTGTAAGATTTCTGTCACTTTTCATTTGATTCTGCTTGAAACAAGCCTCCGTAGTACAATTATTTGCATTTAAAACAAACAAAAATTCTCCCTTTTCATGAATTTTGCATTTGAATATTCAAATTGGGAAAACAGTATTGGAACAAGGGAATAAATAGATGCTTGGCTGATCTTTAACGTTTATGACTGGGAATAATTAGGTGCTTGGCTAAACATGTATTTATTCCCATTCGTAAATACCCTTATATTTAGAGTCAAAAGAAGTCAACATATGATGGGTTTAAAATTATTTTGTTCTAAAATTTTACTTTAATTTTCCAAAACACCACCTTCTTTTTCATGGTATATATTTACATGTCCAATAGAATCCCCTTCAATAAACTTGGCGCTCACGTAGTGCGTTGTGTGCACACGTAGTGCGTTGTGCGCACACGTAGTGCGTTTTGCACACACGTAGCGCGTTGTGCGCACACGTAGCGCGTTATGTGCACATGTAGTGCGTTGTGCGCACACGTAGTGTGTTGTGCACACACGTAGCGTGTTGTGTGCACACAAACTTCTGACCAATCTGATCCATGTGGCAGTACATGATTTACACAGCGGACACCATCACTTCTCAGCCCCCAGGCTTTATCAAATGTTAATAGACAGTCATGTGACTCATGTCGACCAATAGGAATAGAAAACTGTCCCAGGTATTTATGAATATTTTATAAACGATCAAATATTCATATATTTGGATATTCGGCATAGCCCTATTACATGGTGAACAACTTTTTAGATGGACGAATCAAGAATTTTAGAGTTGAGTCCAGATTCCAGGTTAACACAATCTGAAAGTGTGAGGGAGACTACTTTAAATGTCCAGGATGACTGACTGCATACATGTATGTGTAGTTACATTGTTGAGAGATAAAAGTCTTGCATATGTAATTCATGAGGCGAAATGTACACTTCATTTTCTTCTTTATCATGAAAGCATAACTAGATACCAAACCTTCGAGTCATAGTTTGTGCAATAAATGTTACGTTTTCATGATTGTCAAACTGACACCAATTTGATCTAATTTTTCTGTCGAATTCCAGAGAAAATGATGTGTGGGTATTTTCACTTAAAAGCATGACTTGGAACCGGATGGAGATTGATGGAAAGAAGCCACCTGCTCGTGACAAGCATATACAGGTTTGACAATATCTGTAAAATCATAATTTTGTTAACTCAAATTGGCTCAGTAGTCTCATACATGTAACTTCAGCAGTGGTAGTGGCATTTTGCTTAGTGTTCCTCAAATAACACCAATAGTAGACACAAGAAAGCATGGTAGAGAGATACACATTGTACCGTGTATTCCCTCAGAATCGCAACAATGGGAGACACAAAATGAAATGGA